CCGCTATGAATTCACTGGCTGCTATGTTAAGAACTCTATTGTGGGAAACAATTTGAAAAGGAGAGCTTTTTCTGTGAAAGCTTCAAGATGTGTTCAATGATTTGAAATATTTCCAATAAGATATGTGGGAGGGGGCAAGCTGTGACTGAGGAGGAAAAGTTAACCAAAAACTTTAAGTAAGGCTTTGTATACACTCAATTTAGAACCCTTTGCTGAGGTTCAAGACCTAGATCATCTTGTTTATTTTATTCTTCATTAAAGTGCACCTCTGCCTCGAGCTAGAAGTGAAGTGCCAAAATCCTATATATGTCTCTTCTCAAAGTGTTTGCAGAAAGATGGGAAACAGGAAGTGCTGAGAATCCTGTGAGAAACTCTGCCTTTGCATTTGTAGTTGATTTGTATATTAAGATATAAGGGCAAAGTTTCTTAAGTTGCTGTTCCATGGAACACTAATTCTAAAAAATGAATCTTAATAAAAAGTGTTTATTTAACCTAGGCTTCTCAAAAACTTAATACTGGAACTGTTAACCAATTAAAATACAGTATGTACTCTAGAAAGCAGTAAGCTGGAGTTTGTAATCAGCATCGGGTTTTGGATTATACATATAAACCTAAAAACTAAACGTTTTGCTAAAGGCCATAATCACAGAAAATATGCTTTTGCTTATCTAATTTTAGGACACTGGAGCTGTAATGTCCTTCAGATTGACATTTACATATAGAGGTGTTTATCCCTATCTGAGGTTAATAGGAAAATGTAAGAGAACCAATAAAAGGCTTCAGAACAAAATGGGATATGATTGATATATTGAGTAAGAAAATTAAATTTAATGGCAGAGCTATTAAGGCAGAGTGGTGTTTAAGAAAATGACAGTAGAGATTAAAAAGAAAACCTAAAACGTTCGTATTTTATACATGTGAAAGGTGGAAATGTTGAAATATTGTGAAAGCAAACCCCCAGAATAACCAGACAGAGAGCAGCAAATAATAAGGTGATGCCTTGATTCCTCATAAAATGTAAATGGGTGATCTATTCCCCTCACCCCCACCCTCCCCTACCTTCCCTCTGAGGTTTGATCAACCAAAGGACTTGTATGCATGCATATAAGCATAACCAATGGACACAAACACCAAGGGAATGAGAGCATAAAAGGGGGGGGGGGCAAATGGGGGTATAAGGACACATATGTAATATCGTAATCAATTAAAAAATGTAAATGGGTGAAAAAAGGTAGAGCTTATATTATCCTAAGTCAAAGAGATGACAGTCAAATGCTAATTGTCCCAGCACTGGGATGTTGTGGGTAGATTTCTAAATTCATGAGTTAGAAGACATAGCTTTTTATTTTGATTCTGATACAATATGTGCACAGTTTTGGACAAACTGTTTAGATTATTGCCTATAAACTGAGACTTGTAATAGTTACTCACTGTGTATCTCTATATTGCTTTCAGAATCAAAGTAGTTAATAGTTTTAAAATACCACACAACTATGATGGTATATTACAACAACATAATTAGTAAGAAGAGATAGCATATGCATTTTTCTGGCAAGAAAGTGTTGGATTCAAACCATTTTGGAAATAGTGAAGAGGAAAGGCTTACTTCCCAAGTAGATAATACCAATGGATGAGCAGTATCAAAAACAAATAGTTTTTTGGAAGCCAAATATGAAAAGAAGAAAGAAGGGAGGTATGAGCAGTATCAAAAAGAATGGAAGAGTCAAGAAGAGATCAGTCTTGTCTGAAGAACTCCAAAAAGTTATCATTATTATAAAGGTTACACCTAACAAATAAGGTTAGTAGAGAATTGCTAGAGTACAAAAGTTATTAAAGGAATTCCAAATGAAGAAATGAGATGAGAAAATAATGGGAAGAGATAAATAACTGGTAAGACCTGCCATATGGAAAACATTGTCATAGGTTTTCATGCATATTATTTTATGCATATATTTCATTTCAAATTCTGTGCCATGTCTGTGATGCAGAGCAGGCTTCTTGCTTATATGAGCAACCCCTTCTTTACATGAATAGCTATTTTGAGATGGCAGCTATGTTGGTGTCTTTTGATACCTGGTAGCCATGGTGCATTAAAGGTTGTTTAGTGGATTGTGGAAACTAATGTTCCTTCCAGCATACTAAATGTATATCCTTTTTACTTAAGAAATGGATATTCTTCTACAAATCAGTGTCCAGATTTGTTTTCTTTGGCACCAGGACTTCTTTGACGAACTTTCTATTCATAGCTCTTTCCAAATTATCCTGAAAAACAAAACAAACAAAACTCCTTTTTTGACATCTCAGATAGTGGCCATCTTTATATGTCCTCTTGATGAGCAAGAAATGCACCCAAAGTAGGAAGTGGAAAAACGTTGGTGCAAATGTTTTTTTTATAGTATTATGTCTGAAGTTGAAGTCTCTTATAGCATCTGTTGCTTTATTTGAGGTTTTCTTTCTAAAAATAAACCCTTAGAATAGGAATAATAGCGTCATTTTACATTTTGCATAGTGCTGAGAGCACTTTTGGCACTTAGAGAGTAATAAATACAGGCTATAACTATAGCATGTTATTTTCCAAACCAGAATGTTACCTACTGAGTAGGAAGACTAAAAGGCCAATGCTCATCTTACTTCAGGAACAAAATAATAATTTAGAATTTTTATATATTGTTAGATGACTATAGCATTCACATTTTGATTTTTAGAGTATCATCATTTTAATAGTTAATTCTGAGGTTTCTTGGTAGTATACTATAACTTCTGAATTTAAAAGACAATTTTCTAATAAGTCAATTGACTCTATATTATGGACATCTTATATTTTATCATTGTCTTAGGAGAAATGAAAATAATTTTTAAAAATAAACTGAGAATGAATTATGGTTAATTCTCAGATCTGAAGGCCAAATATTAATGGACGCAAAGAAAACCTCTTCTGACATCCACAGACGTATACTAATCACTGAGTCATTAGAAATATTTTTTGTTTGTTTTGTTTTTCAACCACCAAGTTTTCCAGCAGCAAGTATTGACACAGAAGAAAATGCTAAAAGGCTCTGGATCACACCTAATCCTCAGAGATATGGTCTTTCATCTTACTCTGATTTCCTTGCCTAAATTTCTCATTTCCAAAAAAAAACATTTAAAAAGATATTAATGATCATCACATTTTCCCCAAACCACTATTTCGAATTTGCTTAAAGGCCCGGTCAGGGTTGAGCACCTTTCACTGTTGTTCTGTAGAAGGAACGCAACTCAGAATGGAGGCCTGGCTTTGCTTTCATTTGCACAAGTCACAGAGCTGCCCTTCCCAAGTCTCAATGCAAAAATTTCATCTGGGAATCTGGGAAGGGTACCAAAGGTGCTGTAAATTAATGGAGTCTTATACTCAGAAGCATCCAGGTGTTTTCCAGCCTTAGTTCAACAGGCCTCTTTCCTGCCACATTCTGTGCCGTATCCTCTTCAAGGGCAGATTTGCTGGCAACGATCTGGAATGCCCATGAGCAGTTCTCATCTTCACACTTAATCTGTGTGAAAGGTCATCAGACCTTCCAGCTCATCTCTCAGTACATGGAGTTGGAAAATTCGGCTCTTCAAACATGCTCTGTTTTATTATTTAAGTATTAAATTTAAAACACTCCCTGGTGTCCCTTTTATGAAAACTTATATAGAAATGATTCCGTGCTGTATTTCTCCAAGGTAAATTAAGTGCCCAGTCTGGTATGTTACATTTGAATAACACCTTGTAAACTAACAACTGGTGGAACCTTCTGAAAACAGAACTGAGAAAGCGGAATAAGGCTTTCCCTCTAAGGAATACCAGTACATTATACACTCTATAAACTGTAAATGCTTTTCATTTCCAGTCAGTTGCTACGGTCCGAGAGTGCTTCTGCATTCACTGTCATTTTAATGTGCAATCTGCAAGGGGGTGTCCTCTGAAGAGCCCAAGAGAAGGTTTTTGGTGGAAGACTGCATCGCCCTGAGCAAAACATCTCAGGTCCTTTTGTAAGACCAGGCCACCAGCTGGTGGTCTTCCTTTTGGAACCATTTATGTGGTGGTTTTGAAATTTGTGGTGTTTTTAGGGCTCATTGTGAACCTTAGGTTGAAAGATAAAGTAAGCTGATAGTGGAGCAGATATCAAAAATCCCAAGCAATCTAATTCATTGTGATTTTACATAGCTTTTTCTCTGGTCCCATGGTTTCTGTGTGGATATATTCTTCCTTAAGCCCACAGAATGGTTGTGAAATGTAATCACTGTCAATGTTTTAAGAATCCCAAATGAGTGAAGCAAAGTAAGTAGAAAATAGTTTCTATGTTTTGTTCATACTTTTTCCTGAACTTTTTCTCTCTCTTATTAGAACTATTGCCTTAATGAAAGTCAAACTCCATACAGCTTGTCCAGACTATAATTGTTTGGGTCCAAGTCAGCTACCCTGGATATAAGATAAACCCCAGGATATAAATTATAGTTAGGAAACAAAAATTACTCTGACAGCCATTGGTCTAAGAATTCTTCATTTGACATGTCCTTCTATGATATATTTAATATACAGATATGCATATTGTGAATCACTCACAAAATATTTCTATAGTGAAAAATCTAATTGGGATTTATAACTAAACTAGAGGCCTAGTGCACAAAGATTTGTGCAAGAATGGGCCTTCCTTCCCTTGGCTGCCTGCACCACCTTCAGCCAGAGTCATCTTTTCATTCCAATCTGGAGCCACCTTTCTGATTCCCTCACTGCCCAGAGGCCCAGAGCAGCTGGGGAGGTGTGGAATACCTGCATCCACTTGGTGCCTGTGTATTCAAATTAATCTGCAATCTTTGTTGGGTTGATTTGCATACTCACTCCTAATTGGCTGATGGGCATTGTGAAGTTGGTCAGTTTGCATCTTACTCTTTTATTAGTGTAGATAAACTCAGGCACTGGTGGGATCACAATTTTTTTTATATCATTTTTAAAACTTAATCTTTTCTTCATTTCCTTGTAGTTTATTAGAACATAAAATCTCAGAATTGGAGGGAAAGCACAAGGAAGAGTTGGACACCTTAAGGGAAGAGAAGGAGACTCTCCAAACCTTGGTTACTCGGCAAACATATATAATCCAGGAACTTGGGAAGCAGCTGAATAGAGCAACCACCAACAACAGTGTCCTTCAGAAGCAGCAGCTGGAGCTGACGGACACAGTGCATAACCTCGTCAACCTGTTCACTAAAGAAGGTGGTAAGAATTTCTTTCTCACTTTGGGGTAGTAAATATGTTATTTTATATGGAGCATGTACATATTCAATATAACTTTCTATGTTACATTGATTGTTGTGTAAAAGCAGCAAAATAACTTTATTTTTAGAAGCATCTTACAAAGTTTGCAATGACAATATTTTTAACTTCAGAACACTTGCTAATCAGTCTTGCCCAGAGCGGTTGGAATGGTAAATGGTGATGAGCGAAAGAGAACACCATTTACATCTGAAAGTAATGATTGTTACGAAGCTATGGCTTAGCAGTGTTTCCCAAACTTTTGACATATGTGTATCCCTTCTATAATTTTCGTAACGCTGAGTACCCCTCGTACTCATGAGAACGTAGAATTAGGCCCAGCTAAGCACCAGTGCAAATCCCCACCAAACTCCGGTGCAATGCGTACCCCCACCAAACTCTTCCCATACCCCTGGGGGTACATGCCACACTTTGGGAAACACTGGCTTAGGGGGCCACTCATGTAATGGTTCAATGTGTACCTACACTAGACAAAAGTTAGGGCTCCTTTAATTTAAGAGTGGGCTTCAGCTCTAGGAAAAATTAGCTCAATTCCACACTTTTGTGCATAGATATAGATGCAGATAATAACTCTATATCGTGATCTTGTTTTAAAGACTTTTCACATTTCTCTATTATGCTCCATTACCTTTAGTTATTTCTCCTTTAGATAGTCAACACATACCTTTTCCACTCTCTGTAAAGAATATCTTTAAACAGTGAGTTAGTTCCCAGAGCCCCATTAGGGTGTGCTCAGAAATGAGACTGGGAAGGAAAAACCTGCTAATGAGTCGGAGCCTGCCAAAACCTTGAGTGAGAGCCCACTGGAAGGAAAGCATGGTAGGATTTTGCCAGGGAATTTTAATAGAGCTCATGAGTATTTAGAAATTAAGTATTAATATGAGACATATCTATTCTCATATTGAACTGAATACATTTGGGGAAAGATTGAAAACATATTTTTCTTATCATCCTGAGACTTAAAGCACATGGAGTTAAGTAGTTCCTTTTTTTTTTTTTTTTCATGATGTTAGAAATATCAGGCCCTGGTGATTCTCACAGAGCTCATATGTCTGCCTACTTATCACAACGTTACTTCTTCTCTGAGTATTAGTCTAATAAATGTGACTTTAAACTTTTAGAAGCTGAGGGATGACTTCAAAATTAAAATTCCTGGTTAGGTTTGGAATTTGGATGCAACAGCAGGCAGCCAAACATCTGTTCAACTTGGGAAACATTTATTGAACAGTTATGATGGCACTTCTGATAGATGCTCAGGGTCTGAGGAAAGTAACCATGTCTATTCTATGATGTAACATTAAAATATAATAATATAGACAGAAATCATCTAATACTTCAGATCTCTAAATATTTATTTTCTCTTTAATGATACAATCCTAAAATAAGTAACACCCACTCAGGGTCGGAGAAAATTAACTGTGTCTATTCTGTGATATAACAATATTAAGAATATAACAATAGAGACAGAAATCATCTAATACTTCAGGCCTCTAAATATTTCTTTCCATTTTAATGATACAATTCTAAAATAAATTCTGATTTAGTTACAGGACTTGTGATCTTAAGGTAAGCCTATTGCCCTATTTTCTAATTCTCATAATCACAGATTCTATTTGTTTCCTGTTAATCTTTCTTTTTAAATCCCACAATTAAGTATTCTAACTAAATACTTGGTTATTTGAGGACTCATAAGAGACAATATGGAAAGTAATTCTCACAAAGGCTTTCACCAAGATTTTAATTCTTTATTTATCATTATTTTCACTGGCACCATTATCTTTAGTTATGGTAAATTTTAAATTTTAAATGACTAGTAGCATAATGCTGGCTAAATATCAGTTACTAAAATTAACTTTTATTCTAATTCTAAAACACATAAGTAAAATATTTCCCCACTTTTATGACAAAAAATTATTCATTTATCAAATGGATTTATTATTTATCAAAAGATTATATGTAAATATTCTGTTTTAAAATTTAAATATATTAAAGTGTGTCTAAATCATTATAATCACAATAAATGCATTAATTTTCCAAAATGTGTATTTTTAAAGTTCGAAGAGTGGGCTTTTGAAAGTTTTTCCAAAAACATTATGAACTGTGTTTTAATCCAAAAAGCCAAAAATTTTAATTGACCCTACGGGTCCTCTAGTTCCAACTTGACTCAGTTATTTATGGAGACAGCCTGAATGTAATACAAGGCAAGACAAGATTTTCTTGGAGTTTTTTCTGTCCTTGGCAACTAATTTAACTATTATGAAACCGATTCATCATTTATAAAGTCAGTAAAATTGGTCTATTTCATAGTGATAGGGAAATTATTATATTAGATACTGCATATAAAAGCAAAGATACTTATTAATCTGTAGTTCCTTTCTTCCCCTCCAAGTGACAAGATTCAATTAAATACAAATTTATTAAGTGCTATCTATAAGTAAATTTTTTTTCATGGAAAATGTCTAAATATGATGCTCTAGAATGCCAGACTAGTATCATCTAAGCACCTTCTTTAAGCATCAGTTTTCTTATCTCTAAAATGGGATCATAGCACACAACTGATGAGTTTGTACTAAGAATTAGAAGAGGTTTATATAAACACTGCCTATCCATAAATAGTGCCTAACTATGGTGTAGTTATGTGCTGCATAATAACGTTTCATTCAACAATGGACCACACAAATGACTGTGGTCATAATGGGGCTGAAATATTCCTATTGCCTAGTGATGTTGTAGCTATTGCAACATCATAGTGCAACACAATATTCATGTTTGTGGTGATGCTGGTGTGAAGAAAACTACTGTGATGCTGGTCATATAGAGTATACCACATGTAAATACACAACAGAAATATTGATAATGACTAACAAATGACTGTGCTACAAGCATATGTATTTACTATACTCTATTTTTAATTGTTATTTTAGAGTGTACTCTTTTTACTTACAAAATAAGTTTGCTATAAAATAGTGTGTTGGTTTATATGGGCAGCAGCCTCATACATCTAATGTTTATGGAGTCTCCTGATTGCATCGTTTTCTTTTGTGCTTGATTTGATCTCATGTTGTTTGATTCATCATAACATCTAAGCATCAAAATCTACTGCTAATACTGCCATTAAAAAGCCACATTGAGTGACTGACATAAAAATGAAATTAATAGTGCATAAGGATTACAAAAGTGGAAAATCAACAAGGGTAATAATGCTCACTGGTTAGCATGTCTGATTCTACCATATCTACAATCTCGAAGAACAAGAATAAAAATGACAGAAGCTGTCAAAAGATCCACTTCATTGAAGGCAACAAGACTAATAAAAATTCAAGAAGGGCTTGTATGAGTCATACAGAAACTTCTAATGATCGGGATTGGAGACTAGACACAGAAGCATGTCTCTTTAAGCTCCATGATGATCACAGCCAAAGCAAAAAGATTGTTGAAAGAAGAGGTTGGACTTGACTATGATATTGAATTTACTGCTAGCTCCGAGTAGTTTGAACCACTCAAGAATCATTATTTATTAAATAATGTGCAAGTGAGTGGTGAGTCTGTGAGTGCTGATGTGAAGGCAGCTGAAGAATGTTTGGAAACTCCAGATAAGCTGACTGGGGATGAAAATTAGTTGCCAGAGCAAATATTCAATATGGATGAAACTTCCTTTTTCTGAAAATGGATGTAGAAAAGACTTTTATTCATAAAGAAGCAAGTCAGTACTCGGTTTCAAGGTTTTTAAGGACATGATAACCGTCTTGCTTGGGGACAATTTGCAGTCTACACATTGACACCCTTTTGATTAGGCACAGTAAGAACCCAGGGCCTTCAAGCATATCAATAAGCACATATTGCCAGTGTGCTATAGGAGGATAAGAGACCTTACATGACCCAGTCCTTCCTCCAGGGTGTCCTGCTAGTAAAATGGAAAGTACAGTTTGTGGAATAGTATACTGTTTAAGATTGTGCTTATTATTGATAATATTTCTAAACATTTTTCTTTTATTGAGGATCTTTATCTCAATATCAAAATGGTTTTGTTATCTCTCTATACGCCACCTCTTTGATCCAACAAATGGATCAAGGAATTATGGCAGCTTTAAAGGAGAACCTTTGCCTAACCTATTGATGCAACTGAGGAAGACACAGATGCAATTGTGGAAGGATTACTACAATTATGACTGCATTAAGATCCTTGCTTGGACCTGTGGTGATGTCACCAAAGAGTATGAATGGCATATGGAAAAAGACACTGAAAAGGTTCATTCATGACTTGAAAGGATTTACCATGGATTAAAAGATTGCAAAAATCAACAAGACGGTGATTGCATGGCAGACACTTCATCCTGAGTGTGGATTAGGATGGCATCAAGAATCTCCTAGAGGTGGGTCCAGAGGATTTGGTTAATGAGGAGTTTTAGGAATTGGATCTGAAATACAGTGGCTGAAGGAGACACAAGAGAAAAGGGAAACAGCAGGAGAAGTAGAAAAACCCCCAATATTCGCAGTGAAAAGTTTTAGCAGAGGTTTTTGCAGAGCACATTAAGCTTCTTAAAAAGTTTGAAAAAAATGGACCCTAGCACCAAAATGATTTTATTAATAGAGAGGAATTTTCATGGTACATTATCTGTTTATAAGCAAATCTGTGGTGAGAAAAACAAAACAAATCAAGCAAACTACCATAGACGCGTGGTTGGCAAACTGTGGCTCGCGAGCCTCATGCAGCTCTTTGGCCCCTTGAGTGTGGCTCTTCCACAAAATACCACAGCCTGGGGGAGTCTATTTTGAAGAAGTGGTGTTAGAAGAAGTTTAAGTTTAAAAAATTTGGCTCTCAAAAGAAATTTCAATCGTTGTACTGTTGATATTTGGCTCTGTTGACTAATGAGTTTACCAACCACTGCCATAGACTTATTTCTGAAAAGTGGCACTTTCTCAAGAAGAGCCTCAGGCAGGTC